CAAAAAAAAAAAAAAAAAAAGACAATGTATGGGAGTCCAATATTTCATCAAAGGTTCATTTTTTCCCATGTGGCATTATAATAAGTTTTGCTGGTAAGTTTTATTCTTTGCTGTAAGCACACATCCTTTGCCTTCTAGAATACCATATTCCAAGTTCTCTGCTGCTAAATCATGTGTGATCCTGACTGTGGCTCCTCAGTACTTGAATTCTTTTTTTCTGGATGGCAGCAGAATTTTTTCCTTTGACTTGTAAGCTATAGTTTTTGGCTATGGTGCTCCTGGGAATTTTCATTTTTGGTGTCTCCCCCTCCCCCAAGAGGTGACTAGTGGATTCTTTATATTCCCACTTTGCCCTCTGATTCTAAGAGATCTGGGCAGCTTTGTTTTATCATTTTTTGAAATATGGCGGCTAGACTTTTTTTTTTTGGTCACTGTGATAGTCCAGTAATTCTTCAGATTTTTCACTTCAATCTGTTTTTCAGGTCAACTGTTTTTGTTATAAGATACTTACTTTTTCTTCTATTTTTTTTTCAGCCTTTTGATTTTGTTTTAATATTTCTTTTTGACTCATGAAGTCATCAGCTTCTATTTGCTCCATTCTAATTTTCAGGGAGTTTGTTGCTTGAATAACCTCTTATGCTAAGCCATTAATTAATTCCCTTTCCAATTCTGTCTTTATAGCTCTCATCTCTCTTCCAATTTTTTCTCTTCAAGTGTTCTCATTCCATTTATAAAAAAATATTTTAAACTCTTTTATAAAAGATTCTTCCTTCATCTCTTTTTCAGAAACTGTAACTGATTTTGTGCCCAATCTGTGTTTTTCTCTAAGAGATTGTTATAGATGTTCTGCAGTAATTTTCTTTTTTTTTTGTATTTGTATCATGAGTGTCTCTGCCAAATAGCTCATTATGGTGGGGTTCTTTTTTTGTCTGTCCATTCTTCCAGCCTATTTCCTGACTTCAGACTTGATGTCAGGGCTGGGCTCTGCCATACTTCCAGAGGCAAGGTTTGGAATGGTCCTGCTGCTGCTTTCCTGGGGTACTGGGTGTTGTGTGTTATTCCAGGATCTCAGGGGCAGGCCGGATACCTACCAACTTTCAGTGCTCTTTAAGTGGTATGATCCAGGGCAGTCTGATTAATGTCCCCTGGCCTGAGTTCTGCAAGTTCCTGACCAAGGCTTGGATCTATGCAAGAGCAGACTGCTGCTGGATCCTACCCATCCGTCAGCTGGAAAGCTCTTGGTTCTGAGTGGAAGAACCAAGGCTCCCCTTTGGTTTGGGATTCCTTCCTTGGTTACTCCTCTGCAGGCTGGGTTAGATGCTGGAAGTGAGACCCTCCTCTGAGCTTGAGGTCTGACCACTCAACTACTGCTTGCTGTTGGCTTATGAATTTCTTTCTTTTTTGACGGATCACCCAGGGTTTCTCTACCTAAGAAAGGTCACTTCTGTGCAAAGATCCCCTTCTGTCTACTCTAGATCTTTGACCCAGAACTAGGTAATAGGCAACAAAACTGCCAGTTTGCAACTTGTCCCTGCTACACTGTCCTGGTATGGCTGGGATCTTCTCCTGCCTTGTTGCACAGTATCTTCCTGGATGCTGGAGTGCTCCATGTACAGAATGCTCTTGCCCCGACATCATCCCCTACATCCACAGACCTCTTTGTCTATTTCCCTATGCTGAGGTGGGCTGGAAAAATGACTCAGTATGACTTTTTCTGGATTTTTCCATCAGAATTTGTTCTAGTGAATTTTCTAAATCTAAATCCACAAGGATTTTGTGGAAGGGAGCCTGCTGCACTATTTCTTATCACTCTTGGCTTTTCCTCTCTCATTGGATTTCCTTGTCATTATTCAGTCTGGTACAAATTTTAGGGTTTTATTGGAATGGTTATATGGGAGCTAGGCAGTCTGCCTCCCTTCAGGCAACCATCTTGGCCTGAAGTCAAAGAACAGTAATCTCAGAGGGGAAGGTACTATCAACTAGAGGAACCCAGAAAAATTCTACTTTAAATGGTGGGATTTGAGCTCAGTCTTAAAGTATGGGAAACTGAGAGGAAGAGTTGGAAAACCACTCAAAGCAAGGAACAGGGAGATGTGTGTGAGCAACTGTAAGGAGGGCAGGGCATCTAGAAGAAGGTAACTGATTGTGTCAAAAGCTTCAGCAAAATCAACAAGGGTGAGGACTGAGAAAAGGCTTTTAGATTTGGCAATTAAGAGCTCACTGGAAAGAGCAGTTTCAGTTGAATGGTGAGGTTAGAAGCCAGATTGCAGGGGGTTTAAGAGAGTTAAGAGGAGAGAAAGTGGAAACACCAACTGTAGCCAGCTTTCTTAAGACATTTAGCTGAGAAGAGAAGATGAAATAAAGGAGAAATAGCTAGTAGGAATGGATAAATCAAGTGAGAGTTCTTTAAGGCTGGGGGAAACAAGGGAGACATGGTCATGATTGTAAGCAGCTGGGATGGAGCCAGTAGATAAGGAGATTGAAGAATAGAAAAAGCATGAATGATACAAGAGGCAACATGCTGGAGAAAATGGATGGAATGGGATCAGAGTTACACAGAGGGACTAGCCTTAGCAAAAATGGTCAACTCTTCATATGAGACAGGGATGAAGGAGGAAATAATCGTAGAAGACTTATCTGAATGATGTGGTATGAGGAGGGGAGAAAAGTAAGCCTTAGTCAAATGGCCTGGTTTTTTTTTTTTTTAATGAAATACAAGGCAAGGTTTTCAGATGAGAATTACCACCTGGAATGTAGGAAGTGCTTAATAAATATTTATTGAATTGATAGAACAAGGGATCTAGGGATTTGAGTGTAGGGGGAGTACAGCATTGAACTGATCCACCTCAGTGTCAATAGAGAGAAAGGAGAAGAGTGTAACCAGTGCATAGTGATGGCCTGGGAAAGAACTGAGGGATTTGAGGTTACAATGAAGACAAAAACAAGGCTGGAGACATAAAGCAGAGGAAAAGACAGAATGACAGAAGACTACGATCAGGTAAAGGAATTTCAGAATTCATTATCATGGAAATGGAAGATGTCTAAGTAATGGTAAGACTGGGTGACCATGATGACCATCTCTGTGTGTAGCTGAGTGTAGGAAGAGGCTATAGGAATGAAAAAGACTGAAGAAATGGAAGTTGGGATATTTGGGGGACCATATAAATATATATATGAAGAAGTCTAATATGAGGGCAAGAGTTGAGGAAGAGAGACCATTAACCAGGCACTGAATTCATTACAATATTTTATGCTTTTCTGTGTCATGAAAAGTTGTGGGATTAAATATAGTAGAGTTTTGATGTTTTATTTTTATATCCCCACGATCTGGAAGCAAAAGCTAGATGGCTACTTATGAGGTATATTGTAGAATGGACTTCTCAGGTACAAGTTTAGAATAGATGACCCTTGAGGGTCCTCTCCCAACTCTCAGATTCTGTGTGAATTAAACAAAGGACAGTGTTGACAATACATTGATTTGCTGAAGCTATAAGAGTGGAAAACATCTAAGGAAGAGTATATAGAGCATAGAACAAAGAACTAAAGAATAAATTTTGATTATGTCAACATTCAGGGAAGAAGAGGAACTACTAAAAGATACAGAAATAATAGGAGATGCAGGACAGTGTAATATTAAAAGGCTTAAGGAGATAGAAAGAAAAACAACACCAAATGTTACAAAGAGAGGACAGCAAGACTGGAGAGATCTTTAGGCAGAAAGGGAAAGAGCTAATGGAGAAGGAAAGAATGAAGATGTTAGAAAGAAGATGCCTGCAAGAAATGAACGGTGATAGGGGAATGAATCAAGGGCAGTAATTAAACGGTTAGCTTTGGAAAAGAGGGATAACACTTCCTGAGTTCTTAAGGAAATAAGACAGGGTAGGTATATTAACAAATATATAATATGAGCCAATAACTACTTACCACTAAGGTTGGTGCTGTCAATAATCCCCAAGCAAAAAACTCCAAGAAGATAACTATAACCGCATGATAAACACTAGGTGAACCTATTCCTTGAGGCTATGAGAAAGACAAAAAACAAAGCACAAAAATCACCGTTAGTTCCTTCCAAAATCAGTATAAAATTTTCTGCAGCACATAAACATTTCTCTAAAAAATTTACAAGTAATGCATTTAGAAAGGGTCATTAAAATCAGAAGGAATGCTCAAAAATGAAGTAGTCAACAACCTGACAAAGCTTTTTGGTTGATGAATGCCCTTTTGGTGGATTTTTACTGGACTGACAAGTTATTTGAACTTCTTCAACTTTGTGTTCTTAAGCATCAGATTAAAGTAATCTGTAACTTAAAAAAAAAACCCAACGATCTCCAACTAGTATATTTAGAGGATGTAGTAAAATATAAACTATCTTGGAAATCTAATATTAATTTCTACCCAATGCAAGAATCTCCTTTATACCCTTTATCACTTCCATATGGTTCAAGTCACCCTTCACTGAAAACTTCTAATGTCAGGGAATCACATTCCACAGTAAAACTACTCTAATTTTAAAAGTTATTTCATAATAAAACAGTATTGTCCTGTAAGGACCAATGAGTATACAGAACCCAAAGAAACATGCAAAGTCTTTTATGAATTGAAGATGCAAGCAAAGAAAGAAGGACCAAAAGAACGATATACACAATGACAACACTAACATAAACAGACATTACAATTCACGTAAAAAAAAAAAATCAAATGACTAATGATAGTTCCAGATGACTAAGTTAAAAACCCATTTCTTTTCTATGAAGGAATAGTAAAATTAAATGTACTATAAAGCAAAAGAGTCTAATATAATAAAAGTTGAGACTTCTTTAAAGTAAGAAAAGTATTATGGAAGGCCAGGGAAAATAAGACATTACTGTGCCCACCATCAATCCAATCAACATATTAAGGACCTACAATGTGTAACGTATTCCTTTTAGCTGTCAAGACCTATGCTCCACCTTCTTAACACCTTTCAAATGCTCCCTTCGCTCCTCTGAGACTGTCACCACTTTAGCGTAAGTCCTTATCACCTTATACCTAGATGATAGCATTAGCTTGCTGCTGCTCTTTCTGTTTCAAGTCTTACCTCACTATAGTCCATTCTCCAAATTAATCTGTCAAATTAATCTTCTCCTCCTCTCCATCTCATTCAATAAATGCCAGTGGCTCCCCTTCTAAGATAAAATATAAAGTCCTTTGTTTGGCATTCAAATCCCTTCATAATCTGCCCTCTTCCCACCTTTGAGTATTCTTTACGCTTTCCTTGCTTCTACATATTCTGTGGTCCAGTGACACTATCCTCTTTGATGTTCTTCCCACAAGACTTGATCAGTCAATCAATCAATAAGCATTTATCAAGTGCCTACTATGTGCCAGGCATGTGGTAAGAGCTGGTCTCCAAGAGACTTCAGATATTTTCACTGGCTACTCCCCTGGAACTCTCGCTCTCCTCATCTCCACCTTCTGGCTTCTCTGACTTTCTCAGCTCAAATTCTACCTTTTGCAATAAGACTTTTCAGTCCTCCTTAAACTAAGTGCCTTTCCTTTGAGATTCTCTCCACTTTTATCCTGTATATATGTTGTTTGCACAGAATTGTTTGAATGTGAGAACTGTTTGTGTTTGTGTGTGTGTGTGTGTGTATCCCCAACACTTAGTGCAAAGCCTGGCACGTAATACTTCTTGAATGACAAGGTGCTGCAGACACCACAACGACAAAACAAAAAACAAAATGCATCAATATTTTTAAAGTTCTTCCACACAGAATACTGAACAAGTGCCTCCCTGTAACAACCAATTGGTAAGAAGCAAAAAAGCAAAAGTCAATGAACTAGGCCTAAGTTCTACTCTCTAAAGCAAGAGTTCTTAACTTTTTTGTCGTGGATTACCCTTTGGTGGTCTGGTACAACCTATGGACCCTTTCGCAGAATAATGTTTTTAAATAAATAAAATACATAGCAATACAAAGGAAGCCATATATATATTGAAGTTTACTTATCAAAATATATATTTTTAAAAGTTCATGGACCTCAGGCCAAGAAGGAGCCTGCAGTCTAAAGTCTAAAGGCCCTTTCATACGACAAACCTTCAAGTATCACTAATTTGGATTGTTAATTTAGGTAAAATTTTTAAAAAGGTTTTTTTTAATGAAAGAAAAGTCTTTAATCTGCTATTTTAAGGGCTATCATTGTATATGCAAATACATATTATTACAAATGAATTTTGGATATGTATTTTTTTAAAAGCCCACTATGACTTCTATTTGGTCATAATGGATCAAATCAACTGCTACTGATTCGAATTGCAATACTTGCTAAAAAGCAGCAATATTGTATTTCTTATATATAAACAAAATATACTTGAATGACTTTCTCCTTAATTAGTGGGGTTTTAAATTTGAAAATCACATTTTAATAAGCTTGACAGTATCAAGATTATTACATTTTATTCAACCTATTAGCATATCAACATAGTATACTGTATTATTTCTCAAATTATATTTTCCAAAAAAGTTCCGAGGAGGAAAAAATCCGGAAAGGCAGATAAGTACACATTAAAAAAATTTCCATATAGCTTTCTGTGTCTTTCTCATTTAATCAACAAGTCAAACATTTTTTATGCTCTTACTAGGTTGTCAGGCATTGTGCTGGATGCTGGGACAAAGGAGAAAAATAAAACAGTCTCTGCCCTCAAGGAATTTACATTTTAGTGGAGGTGACAACCTGTACCTAAGTAAGTACATGCAAAATATGCACAAAATAAATACAAGGCAATTTTTTTTTGGCGGGGGTGGGGGGGGTGTGCAAGGGAGCATTAGAAGCTAAAGGTTTAAGGAAAGCCTTCATGAAGACTGTGTAGCTCAAGTAGAGTTTTGAATGAAACAAGAAGATTCAAAGAAACCTAGATGAGGTGGGAAAACATTCTAGAAATGTGGAACAGCTAGTACAAAGATGATGAGGAATGGATTATCTTTTATGAGGAGATAACAAGAAGGTCAGTTCGACTGAACTACAGAATGTGGAAAGAGGATTAATGCCAAGCGTTGCTACAGATGAAGCTGGGCCCCCCTAGTGCTATATAAGTCTTTGCCCAGGAAACCCTGTCTCTTTTTATTTCCCATGTCTACTTAAGAAAAAGTGTTGCCAAGGTCAGAGGGTGAGCTCAGGCCCCACCCTAGGCTGAAACTTGCCAACATAAACCTCAGAATCTGTACAGAGCTGCCATTGCCTACCCTTGTGTGCTATTTGCAATCGTGAACCATGGAGCCTAAAATCTGAAGCAATGTCCACGTCTGTTACTCTGGTATTTATCTCACCTAGGTTCCTGCTATTATTGTTTCCCTCAGCTTTTCCCCAATCCCCATCATGTCCTACGAACTTCATCTTTTTCTCTGATCACCACCTCCCTTTATTATTTTCCAATTCGTATGTGTTTTGTTCTGGGCTACTCCACTCCATTAGATGTCTCATAGGTAGGGAACCTTATCTTGAATTTTCTGATATACTCTCAATCTCATACATAAAACTTCCCTATTATTGTTGAAGGCATCATCATGCTCTGAGTCACCAATGTTCAAAATTTAGAGGTCATCCTCAACTATTTCAATTTCCACCCTCTCCTTGTGGGCTTTCTACCTATTCATCTACTCCTTGGTCTCTCTGTGTTGGATTCTCACCCAAATCATGCCCTCTAACCTTAGATGTCCCACAGAGTTCTGTCCTGGGTCCTTCTCTCTTCTTCCTCTACAGTACTTCACTTGGTGATCTTATCAGTTCCCAGGGGTTTCATTACCATCTCTATGCTGGTGATTTCCAAATCTATCTATCTTGTCTCAAACTCACGGCTGAGTTCCAATCTTGTCTCTCCAACTGTCTTCCAGACATCTCCAACTGGATGTCCAGCAGGCATTTTAAACTCAACACCTCCAAGCTCTACCCCCAAATCCTGCCCCCTTCATAACTCCCCTAATAAGTAGAGCACAACACTATCCTCCCCCTAGTCCCTCAGGCTTGCAACCTTGTTGTCATTCTCATCTCCTCATTATCTCTTATATCCCACATCCAATCTGTTGACAGGGCCTATTGATTTCACTTTTATACCATCTCTTGAATATGGCTCCTTTACTTCTCTGAAATTGCCACCAACTTGGTGCAGGCTCTCATCTCCTACCCCTGTACTGCTTCAACACCCTGGTGGTCTGCTTGCCTCAAGTCTCTTTCCACTCCAAATCATCTTCCATTTAGCCACCAAAGTGATTTTCCTAAAGCACAGGCCACACACCTCCAATAATCAATTTCCTCCAGTGGCTCCCTATCACCTCCAGGATTCTATACAAAACCCTCTGTTTGGCATTCAAAACCCTTCATAACCTAATCCCCTCCTACCTTTCCAGTCTTCTTATACCTTACTTTGTCTTATAACCTTCCATCCAGTGACACTGGCCTCCTTGTTATTCCATGAACAAAACACTCCCATCTCTGACTCGGGATTTTCTTTAGCTGTCCCCCATCCCTGGAATGCTCTCCTTCATCTCTGCCTACTGGCATCCCTGGTTTCCTGTCAGTACCAACTAAAATCCCATCATCTTCAGGAAACCTTCCCCAACCCTTCTTAATTCTGGTGTCATCCCCTGTTAATTATTTCCCATTTATACAGTATATAGCTTTTTGTACATATTTGTTTATTGTCTCCAGACTACAAGTTCCTAGTGGGCAGGGGCTGTTTTTTGCCTCTTTTTTGTAGACCCCAATGCTTAGTCTGGCACATTCTAGGCACTTAATAAATGTTTACTGATTGAGTAACTATATTAAGTGATTTGTCCATGAGGATTAACATGGTGAATTGTGATGGATATAAAGCTGGATTCAGATACAGGAAGACCTGAATTTAAAAGTCCTGTCTCTGACATATACTGGTTATATGACCCTGGGCAAGTCACGTAACTCAGTGCTCAACTCTCTTAGTGCCATGTATCACAGAAAAGGTGCTGACTTGTATCGATAGATGTAGTATAGTTTCCTTGTCTATGAAAACACCAGTCTAGTCCTTATGCTTATCCAATTTGACCATACTCACAAAGCTAGTATCATAGGCAGGATTTGAGTCACAAAAACATACACATAAATACAAATATATACAAAGTAACTTACAGAGAAGGAAAATGAAGTTCAAAGAGGGTAAAATAATGGCCTAAACTTGCACCAAGGTCACAATGATAGTAAACAGCAGAGTCAATATATAAACTTTCTACCTGACTCCAAATTTACCACTTTTTTGTGTGCTGTCTTCCTTCGTTACACCGTCTGATCCTTGAGTGCAGGGACTGTCTGCTTAGCATAAAGCCCGGCACATAGTAGGCACTTAATGTTCACTGACTGCTTGAATGCCCAAATCCTCACTCTCCCTCATTTCAAATTTCCAATCAGATGTCAAATCTTATATCTACCTCCACAAAGTTCTTATCTGTTCTATTGTCTCCATTCACATAGGCACCTTACTAATTCCTCTTCCAAACTGCCCTTCCTGATTTAAGTCTTTTCCCTCTACAATCCTAAATCACAGATCTTACCATGTCATTCTTCTTCTCCTCAATAAACTAGAGCTCCCTATTACCTCTAGGATCAACTATAAACGACTCTGGCATTTAAAATCCTTTATATGGTGGTTCTTACTTGCCTTTCCAGGTTTAGTACACTTCATTCACTTTCCTAGTTTCCCGCCTACCCAAACTGGCACCCTAGCTATCCTTCACAGACAACATTCCACCTCCCATCACTCTGGTATTAGGACCATGAAGACAAAAGTTTTGCTTTTTAGTCCTTGCTCTCAAGGAGCTTACATTCTTGAGGTAAAGACATGCACATAGGAGATGATCTGGAGGAGTTAGGAGGAAATTGGTAAAGTCCTTATGTGGAAAACAGTGCTTGCGCTGAGTCTTCAAAGGGACTAGGGATTCTAAGAAGTGGAGGAGAGGACAGAGTATATTCCAGGAAGGGGGACAGTCAATTCGAAGGTATGTAGACGGAAGATGAAATGCCATGTGTGAGGAACAGCAAAAAGGTTAGGTTAGCAGTGTAGGAAAGGGAGTGATATATAATAAGATTACAAAGTAAGCTGGAGGCTTGTTGTGAAGGGCTTTAAATGCAAAACAGAGTTCATATTATCCCACAAGTACCTGTCAAGAAGCCATTTGAATTTATTGAGAAAGGGAGTGACATAGTAAGATCTGTGAGTTAACAATATCATTCTGGCAGCCAGTGTAGAAAACGATTGGAAAAGGGAGACATCCGAGGTAGAGAGACCCATTAAGAGACGTTGCAATAGTCCAGGGAGAAGAAGGGCTCAACTAGTATGGCAGCTATGTAAGTGGAGAAAAGAGGAAGGATAAAAAGACGTTGTGGTAAGAAAATCAAAACCTGGCAACTGACTAAAAATGTGAGGTAAAAGAGAATGAGAAGTCATGGATGACCCTAAGATTGTGAATTGGGCTGACTAGAAGAATGATAAAACTCTCAATAGAAATAAGATAGTTCAGAAGAAGGGTAAAATATAATCAGTTCAGTTTTAAACATCAAGATACCTACAAAACAATACAATCTGAAAAGGTACAATCTTCTGATAAAGTGAATCATTTTTACCCGAAATAAAACTATACCCAAAGTAAATATACTAACAAAGTAAAGACAGCTTTGATTTGTCTTAACCAAAGTAATTTAATCAATGAAGTTAAACCAAAAAATGTGGGCTGAATTTCAAATGTCCCTCCCCATCAAATGTCTAGTAAAATAAAAGTTTTAGAGATTTTATTGTTTTGAACTGCGCTTTCACTGGTGGGAGGAAATACCATCTACCAATTCATTCAACAACTTCTCTGTAACTTACAATATTGGGAAGTTGCTTAGTGTATTGAGAGATTAAGTGATTTATAGAATAAGGCTTGAATTCAACTCTTCCTGCCTCCAAGGCCAGACCTCTTGTCAATTATGCCAGGATGCACTAATAGTTATTGCTTATTTTACGACTTACCTTGCAGATTCGTTGTGAGAAATACTTCAAAACTCTGCATAAACATATTATTAAACAAAAAAAATCTTCCCAACTTACCAGAGCTCTTAGCATATTGTTTTAAAATGAGAAAATTAACTTTTTCCACTTCAGTTGAACAAATATTTACTAAGCATCCTAACACTCTTCTGTACAAGACAAAGTTTATATTCACTTACACACAGGCATCTATATATTTACCCCTACATGTAGTGTTTGTGTACATGACAGTTAACAGTGCCTGACACATTGTGCTCATTAAATACTTATTCCTTTAACATACTACATTTGTGTAAACACACACCTACAGAGATATATATACACGCACATCATGTGTACACACAACTACACAGACCTATGTACGCACATACATGTATGTGCGCGTGTGTTATGTAGAAATTTTACAGGAAACCAATTCTAAAACTGGAAACATTTTCAATTCACTATCCTATTCTTTTCCGGAGCAACACTGACCTTCACGGTGCAGCACTGATGAATTTTCAGTTTTTAAAATAAAGACGGGCAGGTCTTTTCAACCAGCTAACCCCCCCCCCCGCCCCCGCACACCTGCCCATATTCCACCAAACAAAGCCTATTGTGATGCCAGGCGCTTCCGGAAAGCAGGCACCTTCCCGCAGCAGCCTCTCCCGAGCGCCCCTCGGCCCGCCCGCACATCTGGCGTCCCCCAGGGCCCCTCAGTCCGGACGCAGGCGGCGGCGCTTTGAACCGGGGAGGTTACAGCAAAGCACCTTTCACACCGCACGACGAGGACCATAACGCGCCCGCCTCCCCTGAAAGCCGCAACCCGAGAAGATGCTCGAGAAGCTGCGGCTGGGAGCGGGGCGAGGGGTCCCAAACAGGGCCAGGCTCCGGCGGCGCGGCGCCCGCGGCCCCTCGGAACGGAGCATATGGTGGCGGGCAACCTCCAAGCCCGAGGGGAGCGCCAGGTCGGTGCGGGGCCCGGGCCTCCCTTCAGGCCCGGGGTCTCGGGGCGGACCCCGGCCGTTAGGAGCCGCGCCGCGGGGCACGGCGGGGACAGAGTCAGTGCGTCCGGGGCGGAGCCGAGGAAGGGCTCGGAGGAAAGAGAAACCTACCGTGCCCCCGTCCTTGATGATGATTTTCTTGGCTAGCATGATACTTCGGTTCGCAGCCCGCTTCTTCTTCTTCCCTTGAGTCATTTTACCATTCTCGAGTCCCGGCGCCTTCGCGTAAGGCCCTCCCGGCTGGCCCGAGCTGCGAGTGCCTAGCCCGCAGCCTCTGAGCCCCACAGCCAAGCCCGAGCCGCTCAGGCGACCGCCGCCATCTTGGGAGCCCGGCCCGCCTCCAGCGCGGCCTCGCGTCACATCACGTCACGTGGGGCGATTCCCGGGCTAGCCCCGCCTCCTGGGCACGTGACACCACCCGACCTCTCGGAAGCTGCCCTCGCCTCGCCTCCCCTCCTCTGCCCAAGGGGTTCGAACCGATTTTTCCGTCACAGTCTTGTGAGTGGGAGAGCGGCGCGGGTGGCCGTTGATTAAGGCACTTGAGAAAGAGTGGGTGGAAGTATGTTAAACAGGATCACAGGCTGTGGTTTGTCCTTCCTTTTCGAAGAGCGCTGTGACATTAAGGAAGATGATGCCATCACTTGCAAGTGAATTGGATTGAAGTGAGGCAGGGCCGTACGAAGTCACCTCCTGAGCCTTCTGGGGCCGTGGCCAGATTCAGACCAGATAGGCTGGAGATGGCCCAGCAGCAGGCTCACAGATACAGTGCTGGAAGGGACACTGAAGGGGAAACTGAGGGCCAACATCACACAGGCAGTTAGTGGCAATCAGGATTAGAACTTGGACCTCGTGCCTCCAAATCCATAGCTTTGTCCCCAGCTTTAGCGGGCTCTCCTCCTTCCTGAGCTCCGCATGACTTATTTCCAGGAGCCTCACCAGACCGTCCGGTTCTCTTTTCTTCCTGCTTGTCCCTGTGGCTCTGAGCCTTTAGATGACTTTTGAGGTGGTGGGCATCAGAGAAGGGGCATATTGAAGGGAATACCAGTAAGGGAAACAGTTCAAATCTTTCTCTGGATTCTTACTTGGCTGTGTAAGGGCAGGTCATTTAGAGCCTTTCAGCCTCAGTTTCTTCATCTGTAACATGTAAGAACCTCTAACTCTCACAGGCTTTTTGCATGTGAAATAGTATATGCAAAGTGCCTTAATGCGCTATACAAATACTATTATTATGTGTGACTTGAACCCAGATTTTCTTGAGGCAGGTTCATGGTCTACTATACTTTGCTTGCCTCTCACATTGTATTATGTCTGACACAAGCAGGCATTTGATAAACACTTCCTGAAACGTAAATGGAAAGAACAACCACACAATAAATGAAAATAAATGCTGTGAAATTATAAAGAAGCTTGGCCTCAAAGAGGTACGAGAAAACACTTTCTACTTTGTCCTATGTGTATCATCAATGGTCAGCACAGGGCCTGGCACATATTGAATACTTAGCAAATGCTAAGGTAATCTAGGTGATCTGACCCAGGAAGAGGACACCAATGCTCTCTTAATCTGGATGTCCTATCATACTGCAACCTGAAAATCAATTAGCTTTTTGGCTGCAATCCCATAAAACACTTAGCAGTTTTTTTTGTTTTGTTTTTTTCAAACTGCTTTCTAGCTATACTCTCCCCTTTTTTTAAACCCAGATACAAAACTACATTTTCCCTGTTAGAGCTCACCTTGATGGATTCAGCCAAATGTTCTAGCCTGTCATTATTTTTTTGTATCCTAATTGTCATCCAAGTTTAGCTACCCCTTACAGCAGTGTCATATGTAAATTTAATAAGTATACAATCTATCCCATTATCCAAATTATTGGTGAAAAATATTAAAAGGCAGAGGGTCAACCACTTATCACTAGGGAATTCCATTAAAGACCTAAGTTGTCACTGACCTGTTTGAGTTCTATTATTGAAACACTTCTGTCTTGCTTAACTCCACTAATATCTACTAGCATCACTCCAATTTGTTGATGAGCATAATAATGTTTGTCTAATGCTTCGCTGAAATCTAATATGTGAATACTGCTTCTGTAACTAAATGAGGAAAAAAAAATCACTCTAAAAAAGCTCAGTAGATCTGTTTCCTTTTGTATCTGTTTGTTATTCATTTTCCAGTTTTTTCTATGAATAAATGCTTTTGGTATGATATGGCTTAGTAGTAACCACTTTTCATTGATTTGAAAAAAGAAAGTGCTCATAAACTGTCATCCTTCAACATGTTTTACAAAGATGCTTATACTCTAAAATAGTGTAGCCTTTGGTCATTACGTATCTCTGCCAAGAAAGAATGTTATGGTTTTATTAGCTGAGATAGTTTCTTGACTTTTTCAGCCTCTTTATTTTGGCAATTGTTTTGCTGTAGTTAATATTCTCTAAGAAATGATGAGTTGTAGAGAGATATCTAAAGTACCTAACTGGAGTGCAGACACAAGATCGCAGAGTAGCAGGAAGAAGTACAGACAAATTCTACCCCACAACTTTTTCAAACAGTTACAGAAAGTACACAAGATTAAGTTTTTATTGGGAAATCGAAGGAAAAAAAAAGAATGAGGCATTTTTCCAATCCAGGTCATATAGGAAGACTGAAAGGTGGGATAAAGGAAAACTGAAAGGGGGATAAAGACAGAAACTGAGCATTTCAGCACAGGGAGAGGCTATATACCAGGAAAGAAGTTCCAAATCCAGCACAAAGGGCCTTAAATTTGTGCAGGGTTCAGGAAGAGGGGTAATGTCAAAGAACTGGAGATGTAGAGAGCTCTTATCAATTGGAGAATAGCTGAACAATTTGTGACATAAAAATTTGATAGAATACTATTGTGTTGTAAATGACAAAGGGAAATATTTCAGAAAAACCTGGGAATACTTGTATGAACTGACGCAAAATGAAGTGAGCAAAACCAGAAGAACAATTTATATACTAACAACACTGCTGTAAAAACAAACAACTTTGAAAGCCTTAGTAAAGTTGATCAATGCAATGAAGAGCTGTGATTCCAAAGGACCAATAATGAAACATACTACCCACCTCCTAATAGAGGCAGGTAGGTGGCACAGTATATACAGTGCTGGACCTAGAGTCAGATAGACCTGAATTCAAATCTTTCCAAAGATATTCAGATGTGACCTTAGATTAAATCATTTAACTGCTATCTGCCTCAGTTTTCTCATCTGTAAGATGAGGATGATAATAACAGCATCTATTTCCTAGGGTTGTTGTGAGCATAAAATGAAACATTTATAAAGCATTTTGCAAACCTTGAAGTGCTATATAAATGTTAGTTATTGTTGTGATGATGATGATGATGATGATGATGTTCATTTCCCAATGAACAGCAGTTCTTTTTGTGGTGGCAAAGAATTGGAAACTGAGGAGATGCCCACCAACTGGGGAATGGCTGAACAAGTGGTAGTATATGATTATGATGGAATACTATTTATTGTGCTGTAAGAAATGACAAGCAGGATGGTTTCAGAAAAACTTGGGGAGACTTATATGAACTGATGTAAAGTGAAGCAAGCAGAACTTACTTTAAGAGGAAAACATTATACACAGTAACAATATAGTAACAACAATCGACTGAAAGATTTAACTACTCTGATCAATATAATGATCCATGAAAATTCCAAAGAACTCATTCAAAATGAAAAATGCTATCTCCTGAGAGAAAATTGATGAATTCTGAATACAGATTGAAGCATATTTTCTTTCACATTTTTTTCTTTCACAAGGTAGTTAGTGCGGGAATGTTTTGCATGACTTCACATGTATAATGGCTATCTTTTTCCCTGCCTTCTTGATTCGTGGGGGAAGTGTGGGAGAGAGGGAGAGAATTTGGAACTGAAAATAAATTTTTTTAAATAAAAAAATAATACTAATGGGACATTTCTTTTTTTAGGCATACTAATGCTATATTTCTAGTCTTACCTGTTACAGTATAGAAAATGTTTTATATGACTCTGAGTCTTCCTGATTCCTCCAACAAAACAGGGAATATAAACTATGATAAGGGTAATGATAAGGCTACTGAGTTGATCTTGATGGATAAGGAATTCAAACATGTTTTTAGACCTACTTGGAAGATGAAGCAATAGCAGGTAACTAAAGTTGAATGTATAATTTTTTCTAAAGAATAATGTAAAGCACACTAAAACTTAGAATGATCTGAGGCTAATTGTGAATGTTATGGATAATGGAAAAATTTTTAAGCTGTGTTGGGGGTGAGAAAAATCAGCAAAGATCTGGGGCAGCTGCTTAGTGTTGGTAAAATAATAAATGGTAACAGAAAAAAGGTAATTCAACTCTTATGTTGCTTTCGTTTTCTACAAAGGGGAATGATAACTGGATTAGGAGGGACAGGGTAAAAAATGGCTACACAGAGTTGAAACTGAAGATAAATGTGATAGTAAGAGAACACCTCTACAGGATAAACTATGTCCTAGAGTGCTTAAAAAAAAAACAAACAAAAAACCCAACAAACCTGGCATGTGATTGTCGAGGTGAGTGGCTGCCAGTGATCTTTGAAAAGTCACAGGGAATAGGAAAGATATTGCAGGGTTGGAGACAAAGATCTCAAAAAAAAAAAAAGAAAAAAGACAAAGAGCAGACTACTTATAGGTTGATGAGTTTGATTTTGATTGCTGAGAAAATTTTATTATGTATTTTTAAAGATATTCTGTCAACAGTTAGAAAGAGGAAGATATTTACTAAGAGTCAGCATGTTCATCAACAGATCAGGAAGACTAAACTCAGTCATGTTTTTGACAACGCTACTACTCTCTGCCCTGCTATCTCTGGTAGCTCAGGAAAATGCTGAAGACCTGGTATACCAAGATTTCAGCAAACCATTTGACAAAGTCTTTCATGGGAGAAAGGGCTAGGGTCTCCCATTGCATCCTGAGCTATCTCCAGTCATCCTGATGAATATCTGGCCACTGGACCCAGATGGCTCTGGAGGAGAAAGGGAGGCTGGTGACCTTGCAGAGCCCTCCCTAACTCAAAACAAAGTCAATTGCAAGTCATGTCATCATCTCCCTGACGTCATGGTCCTCTTCAAGAACAAAGGACAAACACAACAACCTGACAGAGTCTTTCATGGACACATGTTCTAAATCAGTGGGGTAAAACTCAAACAGAAATCCTTGTGGACCACATATTAACTTAGAAAACCACAAATTAACATTATATTCTACTGCATTTTTATTAAACAGTTTCTGATTATATTTTAACCTAGTTCTAGCTGCTTGAGAAT